CACGAGGTTGGACAGGCGACTCTACTCCTTGTCACATACAACCGGGGAATTGAAACCACGCCAGTTGACTCAATGACAGACCTTATGATACAGCGCGCACACGCTAACCATTCGGCCATCCAATTTCCCAAACATTTTCTCATTTTTCAAAACATCATCCATGCTCAAATTGATTATTTGGCATTTCAACACCATTATACCTATGATTTAGATAAAGTGCTGGCCGTAATCCTATCGTATCCGACTACAACACTCTCTATAAAGACTGTATAGAAATTTAATATTGATCTAACCTTGTAGGTTAATAGTCCAAATGATATGTAGGTTAACTTTTAAAGTAGCAATACTGTTAGAAATTATAATTAAAGATTCATTAGTTGTTCGGATGGGATGAAAAACATGGTCCTGTGTATACATTGGCTTGCACGTAAAAGATCTCGCTGGAATTCGATATAGGAGTAGGCCATACATGTAGTGCTGCTGCCCGGGCATACTGTATGGCCTATGCCTGTGTTCATTAGCCCAGTCGGAGCAGAACAGTAGGACCATAAACCCAATCCATCCTTTTTGAGCCAAGTTATTGCTATTTGACATTTTGACAAGCTGTGGCAAATATTATCTATTCCTGTAGCATCATTGCTTGTTAATCGAAACTCACCTGGTTTTAATCTCTGCCATTTAAATGTCAAAATAAAAGTTTATATAACATTTGAAGCCAAAATAACAACCTGCAATATGCAGATTTAGCTCTTGAATAATGTATCGTTAATGAATGATCTGTTACGTTTTAACGATTGATTTAAACTTCTGAAGACTTACATGTGTACTCGGTTCTAGAGCATGTCAGTACAGTGCACCTATTTTGTGGAATTCTTTACCCCATCACCTTAAAATAGCTTCATCACCTGAATCTTTTAAAACAAAACTAAAAACTCATCAATTTACCAGTGGATCGAGATATGTGTGTAAATAGTGACCATAGAGTACATACATGTAGTACGCGCCTAGAACATGCATTTATGGGTGGATTGGCGATTTACAAACATACATTATTATTATTATCCTTCATGACAACATATAGTTTGTAATTTAAATATATAAAAGACAAAGGTATTATTATAGGAGCTGGTCTAATCGAGATGGAAGCAGAGTTAGAACCCTTAGTACAAACTAGTTGGGTGTCCGATTATAGGAAATGAGAGAGAGAGAGAGGGAGAGAGAGAGAGAGAGAGAGAGAGAAATGGGGATTAACGTCCACTTGACACAAACTAGGTCATTTCGGAACTAACATATGGTTCAATTCTATTTCAATAATTTCGTTGCGTGTAGGGGTCTTTAGCAGAAGGAGGAAACCTGGAGAAAACCTATGCCTTGTCATGTACAAGCGGGAAATCAAAACCAAGTCCCTTGACTCAATGACAGACCTTCTGATACAACGTGCACACATTAACTATTCGGCCACCCAACCCCCTACATGTATAGGCAATTATAAGTAAAATAATTGTTGCTGTTATTTCTACTTTAAAATCATTAATTAGAAGTTTTTTTACATGACAAGATCATAATGAACTTTTTAGAACTTCAGATGGTTTTGATTTTCAACAGACGATAGGCAGTTAATGATTTAATTTGAAAATGGATAATTCAGATTTTGTTTATTATCGTAACAACACTAGCAATGACAATCAAGACTACACTGTTCTGCAAACGAAGATAACTCCACTCAGAATGAAGTAATTTCCTTATACTTATAGCACATTGTATGGTGTACATGTGTACCCATCTTCATTAGCCCAATTGGAGCAAAACAGAACATGTAGGACATTAAACCCAACATCATTTCATTTTATAAATGAACACACCCTATTTTATATCATTGATAAACAAGCCTATGTACCATCCTCTAGATGGCCCCAACTCCCGGATATATAAAAATCATCCATGTATGACAGAATTCTTAACCAAAAACAAGTCTATTTTATATCATTGATAAACAAGCCTATGTACCATCCTCTAGATGGCCCCAACTCCCGGATATATAAAAATCATCCATGTATGACAGAATTCTTAACCAAAAACAAGTCTATTTTATATCATTGATAAACAAGCCTATGTACCATCCTCTAGATGGCCCCAACTCCCGGATATATAAAAATCATCCATGTATGACAGAATTCTTAACCAAAAACAAGTCTATTTTATATCATTGATAAACAAGCCTATGTACCATCCTCTAGATGGCCCCAACTCCCGGATATATAAAAATCATCCATGTATGACAGAATTCTTAACCAAAAACAAGCCTTTAATAAACACACACACACACACACACACATAAATCATGCATAAACAATCTTTTAATAAACACACATAAATATACCTACATCATGCATAAACAACTTTTAATAAACACAAACACATATCGGGTATATACCTACATCATACATAAACAATCTAAACACATATATATACATCATGCATAAACAACTTTTAAATTGGTGAATTTGCTTTGATGTCTCTTTTATAATTCTGGGGCCTGGGCCCTTATTCACAAAAACTTTAACTAAGTTACAACCGAAATTTTAAGAAATACTGCAACTTCATTGGATATATGCAAATTGATTTTACTGATCAGCCAATCGAATTGGAGTATTTCTTAAAATTTTGATTGTATCTTAGTTTAAGTTTTCGTGAATAAGGGCCCAGTTTCATTAAATTTTAACTAAGATAAAATCCAAATTTGAGTAATTTGATTGGATAATATTAGATTGATTTTAGTGCTTAGCCAATTAAAATTGAAGTATCTACTAAAATTTGGATTTTATCTTTAGTTAAGATTTCGAGAAACAGGGCCCAGATCTTATTCTTGACTTCTCACAGGTCACTAAGCTAACTCTTGACCACCTCTGTGTGAGTTATGCTAACTCTTGACCTCTCTGTGTGAGTTATGCTAACTCTAAAATATTCTACTGGATGATATTAAAGACAGTTACACCTGTAGACCTGTTTAACCAGTTTAACGTTTTAATTAATCAAAACTTGTGAAATATGACAATCTGACATGTTAACCTTAATGAGCAGAGATTTTTACTTTTTAATTTGTAAGTTGAACTGAGTCAGCAGAAACTACTTGATTTTCAAGTATAAAGTACAAGTATCCCACTGCTATATGTTTATATCCATTTTTTTGTCATAATAATAATTTAAAGGGGCACTATGGGAGATAAGATAAAGAGTTGACTGTTCTCGCTATAGTTAAAAAAAACTGAGATATTAGATTTTGAATTTTAGGCTAGCCTCGATCATCATTATTAAAATCGGTACGATAAAAAACAATTTATCGATTTAATTATTTTTCAAAAAAATGTATTCCAATCCACTAAATATTGCAGGCATCGACAGTTGAATATGGCCTAGATAAGTTAATTTATGTCTAATTAATAATTTAGATAACATTTCAGGCCTAAAGAAGCCTCTGCAAAGCAGATTTGGCTCTTGCCTAATGTATTCAGTTTCAGACGAGTTATTTGTCCCTGAGGTAGAAATTGAAATCACACCAGTTATTTGATAATCTCGCTTACGAACATGGAATTAACAGACATACATGTATACTTAGTCATAGTTTGATGTTATTTTTTACACTGGCCTAATGTAGAAATCATACTACGTGTAATTCTATCCCACTATACCTCTCTATAAAGATTGCATATAAAAAGTAATATTTACCTACACTCGTAGGCTACTAGTATAAATGACATGTGATTTAAATTTCAAAGTAGCTTTAATCTTTATTGTTATAAATTAAAAATGCCTTATATAAGATTTAGATGCAGTGCTTGCTGTGGTTCAAAAATAGATATTAAATAAATGAACATATGTATATTGAAAAAGAGAGAGCTAGAGAAATCGGGTTTAATGTCCACTCGACACAAACTAGGTCATTTCGGGATCTAACACATTGTTCAATTTTATTTCAATAATTCGCTTGCGCATAGGGGTCTTTAGCAGTGGGAGGAAACTGGAGGAACTGAAGAAAACCCACGAGGTTGGACAGGCGACCTTACTCCTTGTCATGTACAACCGGGGAATCGAAACCACGCCAGTTGACTCAATGACAGACCTTTTCATACAACCCGCTCGCGCTAACCATTTCTCCCTCCCCTTAAAATTGAAATTCACCCTTCTTTACAAAGTCATGGGTTTATTATCATTTATGAAAACAGGAACGACCCCCTAACCTAACATGCATTTATTGATCTTCAGAACCATTTCCCATTCACACAACTATCACTCTCCTTAATATCAGATCACTCTCCTTAATTTCTAAATCACTCTTATCTAAACTGGCAGAAATTTTTAAAGGTGGACCGATTATTTCAATTTGTTGATTAAGGGAAGTTTTTTTCGGCTCTCCTTTAAAATACAAAAAACGACTGCATAATGCATCTTTAATTTAATAAAACACCACATTATTAGAGTCATTTTAGCATGGAGTTAAATTAAATATAATACAATTTAAACATCCATAGTAATTCTCAATACATGTCAGCCCAGAAAATAACATTTGTTTGTTTATGGGCATTATATTCAAATACATTGCATTGGACTCTTAGCTATCTAATGAAAAACTAAAATCAAGCAGGAATGTCATAATCTATCATATTTCAAAGTTTCATTACCGGTATAATTGGTATCGATCGCGTGACTTTTGCAAGAAAAAAGACGTCACTCCTCAGCTAAGGAGTGGGAATTGTCAACATAATCTAAACTATTTTAATACTCTTCCACTATATTACTATGATTGAATGACATCTTGATCTTCATTTTGACTTTTTACGCAATCAGCTTTCAACCATTTTATGATCTTTCTTTTAACTTCATTAAGAAAGAAAATGTTTGGATCCACGATGATAACCCTATAATAAACAGTATAATGACACATTTCGGCAAAAATTATTTCTGACATGTATAATAAAACGAAGAAATGAATTACTACAAACCTTGTCTGATAGTTGATGCGGATCCCAATCTCCGCGTCTTCTTGTCCTGTACTCTGTAGTACGTTTGTTTACAATACTAGCCGGTTTATTGGGTTTATTTGTCAAGCCCAAGCTCCTCTACTTATTGTATATATAAAACACCCCCACCAACAAAAATAATCAATATTTTTGCGTCTGCCTAACATTTTTGGCGTATTTTGTGATCCATACAAAAGTGAATGCAAAGCATGTCCTTGAACTTGGCCCTGTTATCGTAGTCGAGCTCATTCAGCCACATACACGGATTGTAATTATCTTTCATAAATACGGAAAAACTACCATTATAAGACATTAATTGGTTGTCTATAAACATTAATAGTTTTATTTATTAATTCTGGAGAAGAGAGTTTGAAATAACCAGATATAACAAACAGTGCACCTGAATGGTCTAAAAGTGCGTCAAGGGAGATAATTCGTGATGTTCAATTCCAGGGATCAGACCAGTTGAACCAAGAATTAATTTTAACCAATCCTTTAATTTTATTATCCACCGAGAGTACAACAGACACAATTATCAGAAATGCCTGAAAAATTTCAGATAAATGACAGAAAATGTAAATTTATACCATTTACAATGATTCTTGAATTCAGCAAAAATTAGGCATGCTAAATGTGACAAGTAAAAGATATGCTTATTGATTGATGATTCAGCTATTGGCCATCTTGTCTTACATTCATCATATTGTATGCCTGTAATTACTGGTGACATGTTATCCATGTAGCATATATTTCTGTAATTACTGGTGACATGTTATCGATGTAGCATATATTTCTGTAATAACTGGTGACATGTTATCGATGTAGCATATATTTCTGTAATTACTGGTGACATGTTATCGATGTAGCATATCTTTCTGTAATTACTTGTGACATGTTATTGATGTAGCATATCTTTCTGTAATTACTGGTGACACACTATCGACGTAGAATCTTTCTGTAATTACCGGTGACATGTTATTGATGTAGCATATCTTTCTGTAATTACTGGTGACACATTATCGATGTAGCATATATTTCTATAATTACTGGTGACATGTTATCGATGTAGCATCTTTTTGTAATTATGTGAAAGTTCATTCATCCCTGGGACCTGGTTAGTGAGCCAGTGACATACTCACTTGCAAGGCAACTTTTGTTCTCCTACCTAGTGAGCCAACATCAGACTCATTGATCTAGCGTGGCAACCATTGCTCTCCTAGCTAGCAAACCAACACCATATTAACTGAACTTGAGCTAGCATGGCAACCTTTGCTCTCCTAGCTAGCAAACCAACAACATATTTACTGAACTTGAGCTAGCATGGCAACACCATACTGGCTGAGCTTGATCTAGCACGGCAATCTTTGCTCTACTAGGTAGACAGCCAACACCACACTCACTGGGCTACTAGGTAACATTTGCTCTAAAGTCATAAATTTACCATTTTTTTTATTTAATCAATGGGTCTACGACTCCACATACAAAATATTGAAAATACTCTGAGCTAGCATGACAACGCTGACTCTGAAATCAAATCATAAATTTACAAATTCTTTTGATCATCTTTTTATTCCATCAATGGGTTCAATCACATACAATATATTCAAAATAATCTCTTTTATAAAACAAACTCCACTTCATATCACTCAAAAATAAGACAATTAGCAACAAAAGATATACACAATCCAGTTTCAAATAATATAAGTTCAGTTTAACCATAATATTTATTGTCCTACTCAATCCAGTTTCAAATAATATAAGTTCAGTTTGACCGTAATATTTATTGTCTTACACAATCCAGTTTCAAAAAATATAAGTTCAGTTTATAAATTAACCGTAATATTTATTTTCTTACACAATCCAGTTTCACATAATGTATGTTCAGTTTAACCATAATATTTATTGTCTTACATATAATACGCCTAACCCATTTAAATATAATTAATAACAATTGTATTTATATTTTCCTGATTTTTACATATTTTCTCTCACAACCATATTTTGCCATTGACAGAAATGAAATGGGGTTCAATACAGTGTGCTATGAAGGAATTTTTGTCCGGACAATGGCACTATGGCTTACTTTTATATAGAATTGCAACAGTCAACATGACAATTGTTCTCGTAATGCACTCCGTCCTGCACCACTTACACAGGGCAACTATGACAAAAATATCCTGAGAACTTTTCTCGGCCAATACTGGGAGCTAACTTGAGACCTCCAGGCCAGTGAACCGGACTATTACTCAGTGAGTCACTGTGGCGCCCGCCATTGACAAATCTTCTGTATGCATATCAACTAGTCATACTATCAGCCCTTTCTGAACACAGAGAACTTTGAGAATAGATCTCCGCCCTGATCACACAGAGAGAGAGATGGGGTTTAACGTCCACTCAACACAAACTAGGTCATTTCGGGACTAACATATGGTTTAATTTTATATTTCAATAATTCGCTTGTGCGTAGGGGTCTTTAGCAGTGGGAGGAAACAAGAGGACCCGGAGAAAACCCACAAGGTTGGACAGGCGACCCTACTCCATGTCACATACAACTGGGGATTCGAAACCACGCCAGTTGACTCAATGATCAGGGCTGCCATGTTATGCGGTTCTAATTCATTTTATATCTTTCATACACATTAAGACTAAATGCACAAGACCATTAAACAACTTAAAATACAAACACATTATCCAGCATGTGTGTTTCTAAGAAAACCATTATGCTAGTACCAAATTTTTGAATTGTAATCCTTAATATTTTTAGAAATGGTCCCAAAGGAATTAGGAATTCTGTCACTTATGTCAAAGAGATAAGAGTCATAACCATTATATACAATAAACCTTGGGATATAACAAAATTACAATATCAAATATGGAGACAGCTATCCATTAATTTTATAACAATTAAAATATCTAGATACATTTAACACCAAACATGTGGTAAGTATCCAGATAACATCAATCATGATGAGATAAATATCCAGATACAGATAACATCAATCATGATGAGATAAATATCTAGATACAGATCACACCTATCATGATAAGATAAATATCTAGATACAGATAACACCTATCATGATGAGATAAATATCTAGATACAGATAACACCAATCATGATGAGATAAATATCTAGATACAGATAACACCAATCATGATAAGGTAAATATCTAGATACAGATAACATCAATCATGATGAGATACAGATAACACCAATCATGAGATAAATATCTAGATACAGATAAAATCAATCATGATGAGATAAATATCTAGATACAGATAACACGAATCATGATGAGATAAATATCTAGATACAGATAACACCAATCATGATGAGATAAATATCTAGATACAGATAACATCAATCATGATAAGATAAATATATATAATCCAGATACAGATAACACGAATCATGATGAGATAAATATCTAGATACAGATGACACCAATCATCATGAGATAAATATCTAGATACAGATAACACCAATCATGATGAGATAAATATCCAGATCACATCAATCATGATGAGATAAATATCTAGATACAGACAACACCAATCATGATGAGATGAACATTCAGATACAGACAACATCAATCATGAGATAAAACACAAAATGTTAAATTATGACGTTATATTACTTTCTTTGTTACAGCTGTTTAGGTTGAAATCTCGAAAATTTCAACAGAATTATTGTTCTAGCAGTTTAAACTCTGAAATGTATTTTAATCGATTGCAAATTGCCTTCACTATAAGTTTGCGTTAATGATAAGATGGATTTCTAGATAATGTATACATCGTGAAATCCTACGATACAGGGAGATTACTTTCTGCGATTCGTAATTGTCAACGATGACGTATGGGACTAAAGAGACCGAATCAATGCCCTAGGTCACTAGACTTATCAATCCAGGTCTTATATGCTGTTAAAAACCATGATATTCTAATTCATATCATTTTAACCATGTTAATATCGGTTTTTACCTGTATTTTCTGTGTGTGTGTGTGGGGGGGGGGGGGGGTGTAAAACTATAAATCAATATTAATAATCTAGTAAATCCTTACCAATATCATTTTTAATATCAAAATTTGAGAAAATTATTAAATGCTAGACAAAATTAATAAATGCTAAAGACAATATTGTTTTAATAATATCAAATTTGTTAAATGCTAAAGAAATTATCGATAACACTTTGTTCAAAAGGTGCCTGAAAAAAAAAATACATATGAGAGCTAACGGGAATTTCTGAATCTATCTCGCTATACAGGTACTCTCTCAAGATGGTCACTTTCACTATCGGCTCAATCTGATTAAACTATATTTCATTTCGTCTTTTATATACTTTCAATGGCCTCTGCTACATAATATCTGACAGGTTATAGTGGGACATCGCGTCAGGTGTCATATGAGCGATCTTTGACCATACTTTCATTCAATACTTTAAGCTCCTTTAAATCACCCCAAAATATTATTTAATTCAATACATCATTTACCCAAAATGCAACACCTTAAACTAAGCTGTATTAATTTCAAACATGATTTAAACAGAAAATATCATCTAATTCAATATCATTTACCCAAAATGCAATACTTTAAGCTCCTTTAAATCACCTGAAAATATTGTCTAATTCAATATCATTTACCCAAAATGCAACACTTTAAACTGAGCTATATTAATTTCAAACATTATTTAAAATTATCTCCTTAATTATAAATGCCATATAGAAATATTTAACAATTTAATATCACTAAAGCCTAGTGCAAACCTGCCATTTTCTCTGGCAATTTGTTAGCAAATTTTAATCGCTAGAAAAAGAAATCGCCCCATATGCTTGTCACTGATATGCATGCGACAGTAAGCAATCTCTTGTTGAGTTTTTTTCATCGATCAATCAGCACAATCTAAAATATCATGTGATTTTACAAAATGGCCACCCATCTCAGCTAGATTTTCCTCTATGGGAGCTGCCATTTTGACTGGTCACATGATCAGCAATGGCAATAACTCAACTGCATAGCTGACTGCCTAACAAATGATCATTGCTTCTATTACTGTAAGAAAGTTGGCAGCATGCGCTAGGCTTAAATTACCACATTTCATTTGCTAATACAATCAATCAGGCTAAATAATCTTTACAATTCTTGATGTACTGAGTCAAAAACAGTCAATACATTAAGAATTTTGAATTCAACTTTAAACAAAAAGAAAAAAATAAGAGGTTACAATATTTAAACATGTTTGGTAACCAAAAACAATAACACAGGCTTCTATATTCTAAAACAAAACAATACCAGATATACATGTATTAGTAAAGACTTTTTAAATTCGTTTTACAGATATCCGATTTCGTACAATGGTGCCTGACAAGGGTGGTATTTACTCTTATAATCTACTTGTAGGCTTGTTTTTCCATGCCTATTGCATATAAACACACAATACAATTTTATGCATACACAATTATTTTTATTACTGTGAATGCGTCTTTTATCTGCATAAATAAAATTGTACCTTGTGTTAATATGTTCAATTACTAAAATATATATACCTATCAACAAAGCAGTTATTTCATATACTATTTTCATTGTTTCAAATCATGATGCAATTGCAATATCACAATATATCCATTAATCCTAATGTTGTAAAATCAAAATCTGTTGGCATGGTAATAAAAATGTCTCTACATATGATTATAATACTGAATATTTAAAGCTTTTACGCTGACCAATAGAAACACAACAATATAAAGAGACGATTGTTATATCAAATTATATAGGGCTAGAAGTAAGCAGATTTCAGATAAAAATAATATTACATTGTCGCCATTTCACAGAAAAGGTTTGGTACTAATAGGAGTTTATTAAAGACTCAAGCTGTAACTGGGCCAAAACTAGTACAATTTCACAGAAAAGGTTTGGTACTAATAGGATTATATCAGAGACCCTGTGTAGATGTGTAGAGAATTTCATATGCAATGGTTATTTATAGACTCTTGTACTGAGCGTTATCGCACCACGTGACAAGTCAGAAATCAATTCGAGAAAAGCCGCTGACGAGTGCACATTCGCCGTGTCGAGTTCAACAGCAGGGAAAATTTTGGTTGCATGAGGCACGCTATCAATGACTTGACAATTTGTTTATTTCTAGCCCTAATAACATAGATTAATGCTGGGTAGTAACTGAACTATAAACTTCATTGATTTGTTGTGTCACACGAATAAATGTCGTTCTACGGCTCAATTCTTTCAGTTTCGACGCTCCAACGTAGGTACATGTTGATCTTATTCCACCCAAAACATCCTGAACTGTCTTTTCTACATCCCCACGATATTCAATCTGAACAGTTTTACCCTCGGAAGCTCTGAAATTAAAATTGAAAGTCTACCATAAAAAGGTGACAACTATCATACTGATCAAAATTTAAAGTTCTCCATAAAAAAGAGACAACTTAACCCTTAACCGGTCATTGTCGACTATAGTCACCACAACGTTATACGGCTAAGTGGTCACAGTCGACTAAAGTCGACCACAACAAGAACCTTTTTTATAAGACACATTTGAGTATTTAGTTTCGTATTTAATTGATATGGCCACGCATGCGTGTCAGACAGGAACTTGTCTAGTCAAAGGCATTGAGAAAAACATGTCTTTGTTCAACATTTTTTGACGAAAAACGTAATTTAACGATGTCGGGAACGTTAAAGACGCTCGAAATAGTTGAAATACCTATGAATTATTCTGAGATTATATCGATGACATCGATTCTGAAGACGATATTTCTGATGAAAAGAATTTAGAATGATTTGCAAATTATAGATCAACTTATCCCCATAATCTTTTTTATTGGTGTCAAGAGTCTATCACTTATAATTATTCGGCAGTAGTCGATTGAAATAGGCATACAAAATATTTCACGTCAGCCTTTATTTAGCCTGACCACTTGACGTCAAAATGACGTCGACCGGTTAAGGGTTAACATTATACTGATCAAAATTTAACGTTCACCATAAAAATAAGAAAACAACTTTACATTAAATTGATTAAAATTAAAGTTCACCATAAAAAAACGAGACAACTATCCTATTGATCAAAATTTAAAATAGAGACAACTTAGTATTACACTGATTATATGGCAAAAATAAATGTACATGGGAATTCAAAACTCCCTTCATCTGGGCTCACAGTTTGTTTCTATATTTTTGAGGTTAGGCAGAAGAATTTCCCCTTTGCCACGGCCACGTACAAGGGATAAAAGAAGGAGAATTTTGGTTACTCTCCAGACCCTTAAACCTAATCCCGAAAGTGAGAGAGCGAGAGACATAGTTTAACATCCACTCGACACAAACTGGGTCATTTCGGGACTAACATATGGTTGGATTTTACTTCAATAATTCACTTGCGCATAGGGGTCTTTAGCAGTGGAAGGAAATCGGAAGACCTAGAGAAAACCCACGAGGTTGGACAAGACGTTATGATACAGCACACATGCTAACCATTCAGCCATCCACCCCCCACCCTGAAAGTGAAAAATACCACAGTTCTTCCCAGCCTATGTCTAGATTCGAACAAGTGATAGTCTAGTGCCCTTAGTTGTCGAATGCCGTGGCCCCTTAAGAAATAGGAATCGTAGTTACTTAAAATAAATATACCTGTATTCAGCTACGCCTCCAGCATGTTTCTTCATGGCCGTAGCTGAACTCATTCCGTAAAACAATTTAAACTTCTTTCCATTTTGTTCTATCAACTCTCCACCCGATTCTGTATGTCCAGCTAACATTCCACCCATCATGACATAATCAGCTCCTGCACCAAATGCCTTGGCAACATCTCCAGGACAGGTACATCCACCATCCTAAAAAAAAACAAAAAAAAAACATTTTTATAATCTCTTTAAAACATATCTATATAGAGAGATAAATATGGTTTAACGTTCACTCGACACAAACTAGGTCATTCGGGGACTAATACATGGTTCAATTTTATTTCAATAATTTGCTTTGTGCGTAGGGGTCTTTAGCTGCGTGAGGAAACCGGATGATCCAGAGAAAACGTACGAGGTTGGATAGTGACCCTACTCCTTGCACGTACAACCGAAGAATTGAAACCACGCCAGTTGACTCAATGACAGATCTTATGATACAACGCGCATGCTCTAACCATTCGGTCATCCAACCCCCATATATCTACTAAAGAGTAACCAAATCTATTTTATGTTCTCCTATCACAAGAGCGGAGAGATTTAGTTACCTCAATAAGATTAAACAGAAAACACTTCTTTATCTCATGAATGTTCTCAAGGGTGACGGAGTAATTGAATAAATGATAGCATGTCTGAAGAGAGCGAATGGTCTGAAATATACTTTGTACCTCAAAGGGAACCGACTGTAATAAAATATACTAACCGATATAATATGTCCACCAAGGCCATGAGCTGCATCAGCACATTCTATAACAGCTGAGAGTTGTGGATATCCAACTCCAGTCTTCTTACGTGTTGTACAGACAGAACCCGGACCAATACCTACTTTAATTATATCAGCACCCGATAAAACCAATTCTTCCACCATCTCCCCTGTTACAACATTACCAGCCTACAGAGAGAGAGAGAAATGGGGTTTAACTTGCATCCAATCGAAACTATGCCACTTGACTAACCCGGATGAACGTGTTAAACCATTTGATCACCCAACCCCACTACCTGCCTTGAAACATGAACGTAAAACTCGGTTTAACGTCTGCTCTTCACCAACTTGGCTAATGAAATGTGGTTTGACGTCTCATGAAATTTAGTTTAACATTCCACTTTTTGGTACAGACTGGTGTTCAACCCCTGCACTGGCCGAGAAACTTCATCCACATTTTCCGGCGTGGTTCCCCCTTGTCAGTGATGCTGGGCCTGACAAGGACAGCTGCCTACTCCTTCGTACGGGACAAAAAACGAGGTCCCATGTACACATTGGTGTGATATGCACATAAAAGATCCCTTGGCAGTAAGAGCTCGATATACATGTAAGAGTAGACAATACTGCCGCTGCGCGGGCAAAATTTCCCCTCATAGCACACTGTATGGCGTAGGCCCAACTTTATTAGTTCAGTTGGAGCAGTACAGTAGGATGTTAAAACTCATTTCATTTCATTACTTACCATTATGGTGTGTTTGGGGAATTTCTTTCTTACATCTCGCACAAATTGAACAAAATGTTCTGAGTACCCATTAGCAACATCAAGACAAATAAAAGAGAGTTCCGGAACAGCTTCTAGAATCTCACTGAGCTTTTGTAGATCTCCCTCCGCGATACCAGCACTTACAGCACAATGCTAAAATAAAAACATTTCAATAATATCAGCCACCTTTTACCATTAATCTCTCCCCCTCTTCCCTTACATGTTGAAATAAAACTGGTAAGATCTTTATGTAGTGTAGGCCATCGAAAGAATAAAAAAATGAAACGAAATATAGATCTGTATTTTAATTAGAATGACCTCACAGGGTCAAAAGCCGCTCATATTGATAATTTGACCTGTATCTCTCCCCCTCTTCCCTTACATGTTGAAATAAAACTGGTAAGATCTTCATGTAGTGTAGGCCATCGAAAGAATAAAAAAATGAAACGAAATATAGATCTGTATTTTAATTAGAATGACCTCATAGGGTCAAAAGCCGCTCATATTGATAATTTGACCTGTATGTGTTACGAAACTTTGTTATTAAATAATAGAGAAGTAGTACTTGTGTTGTGTTTTGTTATGAATAGTTAACCGTGTTTCTAGATGTCATTTAAAGAACTGATCATGTAATTGATCATCAGGCTGACCTTAAAAATATCTTTGTTTCACCAAACCCGACCCACAATCGAGGAGAAGGGTCGGTAGGTCGGGGTTTTTTTCAGATTTTTTTTTAAGAGCTAATTTGACAGCTTGATAATTTTCCGGGTGCAAACATTCGTCTTCTTTTATTGTCAAACAAATCAATGACATTGGGATTTTTCGTGATGCACGACTCGCACACGAATTGCCAGAAACTGACGTTTGAAACTCCCTCAACACGTTTTTTAACGATCGTGTGGGTTGTGCCTTCATTTTTCTCGAAAACGGATATTCAATATCCGTTTTCGAGAAAAATAGAGGCAGAATCATTTCGTGGGAATGGACGTGCTTTCGTCTACAACCATTTTGTTGAGAAGCGACACCTATGATGCTTTCGTCTTGATCAACCAGTTTCAATAATGAATCAAACCATAGCCATAGTAAAGGGAAATAACTCTCGTGATATATTTCAGGTTGACACACAAAATAAAATAAAAAGATCGCGGAAAAGTGCAATAAAATAATTTAAGTCGGGGGTGGTTTTAGTTAGTCGGTCGCGTTAGGCGAAACAAAGATATTTTTAAGGTCAGCCTCAGTGTAATCTAATTCAAACACTTTTTATTATTATTATTACAGCATATTTATAGTGTGCCCTTTCATATAACATGTTCAGGGGCACTTTACAAAGTGAAAATGTAATCATAAATAAACAACAAGATTATGGATATGTTAACGATTGTATACAGAGTCAGTTAAAAGTCTGATTAAATAAATGTGTTTTAAGTTGTTTTTTTAAAAGAATATAAAGATGTACACTTATTATATGTAACTAATAAAAAATTACTCTATTTGACTTTTATTATTAAACTAACAGATCGCAGATAACATAGCTCCTAGATAAACTGTCTTCTCTGAATATAACCTATTTAAAATTCACATCTAGTCATGAAGAAGTGACCCTTTTGGCAGTCAGTCTATGTACAAAAGAGAGAGAGAGAAATGGGGTTTAACGTCCACTCGACACAAACTAGGTCATTTCGGGACTAACATATGGTTTAATTTTATTTCCATAATTCGCTTGCGCGTAGGTGTCTTTAGCAGTGGGAGGACCCAGAGAAAACCCACGAGGTTGGACAGACGACCCTACTCCTTGTCATGTACAACTGGGGATTCGAAACCATGCCAGTAGTCGATGTACAAGCATAACAATAAATGAAAGACTTACTGGAAGAGCATCTTTATTAGCAGCAGCAAATTCCTTCCATGCATCAACAGAATAATGTTTATGTATGGTGGTAAACATCAGATGCTGAAAATACAAGCAAACAGTCAGAGAGAAAAACAAACCAGGTCATTTCGGGACTAACATATGGTTCAATTTTATTTTAATAATTCACTTGTGCGAAGGGGTATTTAGCTGTGGTAGGAAACCGGAGTAGCTGGAGAAAACCCACGAGGCTGGAATCGAAACAGACCTTATGATACAGTGCACGTGCTAACTATTCGGCCATTCAACTACCTGTTTACCCAGGAAGAACCAGCGGCTGCCAGGCATGATACGCCCACATTTTCAAGAGATGGATAGAGAACAAGCTAAAAAGAAAGTGATTTTTCGTACAATCCGGGGCCATAATTCAGGAAGTTACAGTCCGATATGCATGAATATCGAAAGGAACCGAGATCTTTGGGTTATAAACTTACATTTCAAGTTTCAACACAATCGGATAAAAATTGTGAACTCTATAGGGTCCACAACCTTGATATACCATATTTTTACGCTATTTGAGAACGAACGGCGGCCATTTTGTCTGTCAATTTTAACGAAATTCGAACTCAGTCGTCCTTAGGGTGTAACGGTGATATAATAATACGTTTTTATAAATCGGATAAAAATTATGACCTCTATAGGGTCCACAGTCTAAAAACATGATTTTTCGTACAATCAGGGGCCATAATTCAGGAAGTTATGTTCCTATATGCGCTAATATCGAAAGAAACTGAGACCTTTGGGTTATAATCATACATTTCAAGTTTAAACTAAATCGGATAAAAATTGTGACCTCTACAGTGTTCACAAGCCAAAAACGTGATTTTTCGTACAATCAGGGGCCATAAACCATGAAGTTACAGTCCGATACATGCCAATATCGAAAGGAACCGAGATCTTCGGGTGATAAACCTATATTTCTAGTTTCATTGAAATCGGATAAAAATTGTGACCTGTAGACTGTTCCCAAACAATTGTGGACGGACGGACGGACAGGGGCGACGACAATATACGTCCACATGAAAATGTGGGCGTATAAAAAATGTCATATCATTTGGTATACATGTACTTCCATAATTTGCTTGTGCAGAGTGGGAGGAAAGAGGGTGAGCTGGAGAAAACTCAGAGAGGAAACCAGAGGAAAACCGACATACATGTAGGTAAGATTCGCTAAAGAGCTAACAGTTCTTGCTATAATATTTAAAAGATAGATCTATAATGAAAACAAAAAATGCTGAAAATTTCAGTCAAATTGCTTCACTCTGAACTGAGATTTTACCAATTCAATTTTCGGCTAATCTTGGTTGTCCTTACTAACGTTGATATGATGATAAACAAAGTCTCGATTATCCATTTTTATGTTAAATTATCTATCATAAAATGTATTGAAATCCAGTAAATACTGAAGGCTAACAATGGCATCGAGAGTTAATTATGATCTGGATAAGTTAATTAATGTCTAATTAATAATTTAGATAACATTTCAGGTCCAATCAGGTAGATTTAGCATGTTTAAGTGGTTGACTCTACTCCTTTAAAAACCTACAGCAAATTGGACTCTGACATAACCCTCTTGTTTAAAAATAAACATAAATATAACGTAGGCCCTATGGCTATGTAATAACTGTAGGCCTAGCCTTCTACATGTACATGTAATTTATATGAAAATTACATTTAAGCCATTATTTGACAAATGTTTTTTGTGAATGATGCAAATGTTTTATCATTAGAGCAGCAATTCTATTCTGATAAAAGTGACAAAGAACTCCAATTTAAAATTAAAAAACAATTAAAATTATCTCTGATCGTGTAATTATTCTACCTTTGATAAAGCTTTTGCCATTTCAAAAGTACCAACAGTGTCCATATTGGCAGCCATAACAGGAATACCAGTGTACGTTTGGCCCGAGTTACGGAAGATGAACGATCTGGTGAGATCAACCTGGAAAAAAGATTAAAAGTAGATCATGATCAGTTACTATATAGTAGATTACTAGCTATCTATGAATGAAATGGGGCTTCATGTTCTACGCCACATATTGTGCCATGATGGGCCAAGGGACCTCAGTTTATAGTACCAGTGCCATCTGAATGGCTAGACAGGCCACCTGTGCTGCACCACTGACGAAGACAAGGGGAAACCACTCTGGAAAATTCTGGAGAACACTTACGGCAAACACAGGGCCTCCTGGAAAGCAAGTCAGCGCCTTAATCACAGAGCCACTGTTGCACCCCAGCTGTCGCACGTACATTGCAAGTGCATGCAGTTTGCTGCATCGTGAAACTACATGTATATAACAGTAAAATTGATCAGATCATCATTCATGATAGTTCCTTTGGAATCCTTACATTACTTTCAAGCAGAATTTAGCGAATAAAAAGCATACACAAAATACGGTTGAACTGATCAGCCATTACAAGGCTGGAACATGCGCGGATTGCATATCTAATTTTTTACTAAATCACATGTTCTACTTGAAAATAGCATCATATTATTATAAATGTGTGTAAGATGTAGCGAGAAATGATTCCTTTTGGCGAAAAATAAAGAATCACTGTGAAAAATGGAAGGAAGGATTCCAAAATAGCCTCAGAACAACAGTGGGGAAGAGCAGTGTTTTCATATCAACAGGGATGGATAGGAACGGTCAGCGGGGAGCGTCTGATCAGATACCGTTCCTGGCTAAATGAAATGGGGTTTAATGTCCTACTGTTTTGCTCCGAAATGGGCTAATGAAGACGGGCATCATACGCCATAAAGTATGCTATGAGGGAAATTTTGCCCGGACAGCGGTACTATGGCCTACTGTCAAAGTATCTGTTACGTGCACGCCAATGTGTACACGGGACCTCATTTTTCCATACCATCCGAACGACTAGACAGCTGTCCTTGTCAGGCCCTCCGTCCTGCATCACTGACAAGGGGGAACCACGCCGGAAATTGGGATGAACTTTCTCGGCCAATGAAGGGATCGAACACCCGACCTCTGGGCTAGCGAGCCAGCGTCTTAACCACTTAGCCACCGAGAACCCCATTCCTGGCTAAAGAATTAATTCATGACAGCAGATATGCAGCACATTATTTTTCATTAAGCCAATTGAATAGGCCTTTCGTAATTCGCCTGACTTCATTAAATAAGCAATCTTACAAACTGAAAAAAGATAAGAAATGTCTAGGCCTACGGAGTATGATTAGGTATGCCAGTGAAGCGGTGAACCGCTGACGGAATTTCGTCGTCGCGAGTCATGCCAGCGCAATTTGCGTATCGGCTTTTCTTTCTCGTCGTATTGTTGATTGGTACGAAATGGAGCTTCAAATGAGGTTATTTTCGTAAATAAAAGGCTAGCTTTTCGCCTCGTTTTCGAATTTTTACTCTAGCTGCTCCGTGTGCAGAGAAATCTAAACTTGAAAATGAAAGTAGAAAACAACACGATTATTGGGACGGATACCAGAATACCATAGGGTTAAAAATATAAAAATTAGAAAATACATATATTAAACTTTAATTCTGCAAGTTTTCAATGAAAATGGTAGGTGCAGAGCCAAAATATGTAATGCGGAAAATTTTTGATCCAGTTTCGCCGCGACCGCCATGTAAGAAAGTTAGAGAAATTTTACCGCTAGCGACTGCGCGCGATTGGCCTCACTTTTCCTTCTTTGTTCTTCAGACAAAAAGAGTGTTAATTAGCGACAATTAATTTGGCATAATTCCATTAACATAGAGCGAAGCTCTAAAGCATCGCGCGAAGCGCGGTGCTTGAGCAAAGCTCTTTTCCGGTAACACAGGAGCGTAACTGAAATTGTCACCCACAGACTGTTGATTAAAAAAAAATTCAGACCGGAACCGGATACACTGGGCAAAACAGGCAATGCGCATGTCAACTTACCAAATCTCGCCCAAGCGAGATTACGCTCCTCATAGAACTATTTCTATGACGCGTCTAATCAATGACGTCACATATTTTTGATGTCAATGAAAATAATTCTCACACTTTCTTGTTCTTTTTTTAAAAACAAAATTAATGTATACAATTTAGATCTAAATGAAAATCAATTTGGAAAAACTAAATTATTTAACATTTTTTGTATCACTTGAGAAAATTAATTATGAAGGTTTTATATTTGACAATAATCAGCTTCGCTCTACTCAGGCAATACCTGTTACATATTATAGGGCCTTTGGAGCTCATTTTGGTGTCATTGTAAAGATGTTTGACAGCCCTATCCAGAAATAACAGAATTAAAGCCATACGGGATTTTTGAATTTTTTGTTGTCATACCTAGTACGATTATGAATATATGATGAAATTTTTTTCTTCATTTGACGGCCTCCTCAGTTTGTAACTGTGAGTGTTAATTTCTGTTTATCCTTGTCAGGCCTAGAGTCGAAAAGAAACTTACATCAGATCGGCTGCGAATCGTACTTCGTTTCGGTCTGAAAAGAACATCTTTAAAATCAAGCTTGATATCGTTGTCAATTCGCGGCATACTTGAGCCCTTCCCGTCTGATTTCTACCTTGAAAAAGAAAAAAAGTGTTGACAGTCTCAGACTGAAATCTCCTTCTTAGGAAGAAGACCATAGGCAAGGGCCACAACTCTAATTTTTCGTTCTCGTGTTACCGCATTGTATAATATTATGTTAAACATATTGAGAAAGCTTAAATCTGTCTGTTGTAATTTTATATAATGGCAAAGTTTCTAATTACTGCCGCTGGCTTTATTGTGCTGTTGTAATTTTATACAATGAATGTCAAAGTTTCTAATTAGTGTATCAACTTACTAAAGAACATTATTTACCATACATGGTCTTCAGATCGCCGCTCGCGGTCCATAGTATACTAGGTCTATTAAACACCGACTAGGACCGGTAAGAAGAGTGTTATTGATATGCACATTCTGCACATCATATCTAAAATTGAAAAGATTTCATAAAAAAAACTGAAATGATTTCATAAAAAAAAAAAACTGAAAAGATTTCATAGAAAAAATTAAAACCATAAAAATGACAAAATTACCGATATAACGGAATTTTTGTCTTGCCGGCAACACCAATATAATCATAATTATTTAGTTTGAGTCATTCTGTGTGTCTATGACCTTTCTGTGTCTACGGTTGTAATATGCCGTCTATGACTTGTTCTTTTATTTTATTTTGCGAAATTCAAATATTTTTCATATATAATTAGCCTGGTGTGCCGCTATTTTTTCATGTATTCCAAGGTGTGCCATTGGCAAAAACATTCTTGAGAACCACTGGGAGAGAGCAATAAACTATAACACATACTAATTTATTTTGGCGACGTTTTCAACATTTTCTCAACGTTTTCAAACGATGACTGACGGAGCGACGTTGGAATTCGATGTAAGAGAAGGCCATAGTGACGCTGCCCGGGCAAAATTTCCCTCATAGCACACTGTATGGCGTATGTACGTCTTCATTAGCCCAGTCGGGTCAGAACAGTAGGTCGCTAAAAAACCCATTTCATCTACTACTGTAAAACTGTAACCATAAACAACAGTTATTTCCCTTTTATCACAAAATCGCTTGTCTGACGTCGTCGAAATAAAAAAAACAACAGGATTCTCCTTTCTCTATATGTATAATACATGGCAATCTACCAGCACGTCTATCCTTTCGAGGACATCTAGTACCACTTTCAAATGGCGAGTCCATTATTCTCGTCGCTGCACACGTTTGCCGAATTCGTCGCTTGGACTTTGTATAGAACTTCTAGTTAGGGTCGATTTAGTCTGAACTCTAAGTGGGCAGGGGGTGTCCATCAAACAGGCCCAAAACCAGACCCATTGCGTAGGACACGATGCCGAGTTGTAATGAGTCCGCCGGTGGGGCGTTTTCGAGATATTCGGGGTCAAAGGTCAAATGAGGTGATTTACACTGAAAGTGAATACGCAGCCATTCTTGTATCATCAAAACATAAAGTATATCATCGAAACTAATCACTCTTACAATAAAAATGTAAACTTGCTAAATTCTCATTTTAGAGGTCAAAAGGTGAAAAGGTTAAATTTTCTGTTTTTGCACGGTGGCTTACTAATCATGAAGTTTCGGGTTCGATCCCGGTGTCGGCCATAAATATCCTTGGGATTTCCCAGCCTGATTTCCCATAGTCAGTGGTGCAGTACACGGGCCCAAGAAACGAAAAAAACGTATAGTCGTTCGGATCGGACGAAAAACACATCGCTGTACAGTTTAAAGTACCCCAAACCGTTGGAATTAGAAGACGAGTAGGCGGAAGCGCCCCTATCGCGCACAAAAAAGTATGACATTAAACCCCGTTTCATTCGATTTACCGTGTGTTCCCTGCTTACCCATCGTCATTAGCCCAATCGGAGCAGAACAGTAAAACGTTTAACCCCGTTTCATTTCATTTCAATGCAAACGTGTAACCATATTACCGCATACTAGTCTTACATTGGTAGAAGCACTCTGTTGTCGAGATGTCAGATGCTCTTAATACATAGTACATATTGCATGTGAATGGTATAATATATATCACTGTAATGACGAAATCGAACAACAACACGAATAAACAATTGTATTGTTGTGAAATATATCAATAATTCTTGATTACATTGGCTCGGTTCCACTTACCCCATATGGTGAAACAACTCACTCCACTCTGGCGGTAATTTATGACATTTGACCAAATGTTTGGAACGAAGCCCAGCTTAGGCATGGGCCTGAGGGGCCAGGCCCGGTGCCCAGTGGTTTAGAGAGCCGCGCGGTTCATGGCAAAAAACGAAACAATCCAAATTCCAGAACACTGGATGATAAGATGATAGTCGATGAGCTCAGTAGGCTAGTCGTAAACAAAGACGCAAATTGATCTGAACTCTGTAACAACTCAATCCGGTGATTTCACTTGTTATAACAGTTACCCGTCGTTATATGTCATTTCCGCGCATTGTATGCCATTTGGACCATAATAAATTTCGTATGTGATCAGATATATTATGTAATTATTCTTGTATTACAGACCGTTTAATTGTGTGTTGCGCATGCGTGTCATTCAAAAGGATAAGCAATAATGTTTTCGTCGCGTTAGGGGCCCCGCGATTCTAGTCAGGCCAAGGGCCCCGCTCCGGTTAAGCTGGGCTTTGGTTTGGTACCCCACCATTTTATTTTGGCATAATAATTGGGGCGAATAATGATGAACAACTTCTTAAACTATACAGTGAAACCAATTTGGACAGGAATGTTTTTGATACTCAAGAGCAGTTTTTGTGGGGGCAAGTGACTACCACTACTACCTACTACTACTACCACTACCTTCTACCTACTACTACTACTACTACTACAACTACCACTACCACTACCACTACTACCTACTACCTACTACCACTACTACTACTACTACTACTACCACTACCACTACTACTACTACTACTACCCACTACCACTACCTTCTACCTACTACCTACTACCACTACTACTACTACCACTACCACTACTACTACTACTACTACCCACTACCACTACCTTCTACCTACTACCTACTACCACTACCACTACCACTACCTACTACTACTACTACTACTACTACTACTACTACAACTACCACTACCACTACCACCTACTACTACCCACTACCTACTATCACTACTACTACTACTACTACCACTACTACTACTACTACTACTACTACCCACTACCACTACCTTCTACCTACTACCTACTACCACTACCACTACTACTACTACTACTACTACGACTACTACTACTACTACTACCTACTACTACTACTACTACTACTACTACTACTACCACTACCACTACTACTACTACCTATACTACTACTACTACTACTACTACCACTACCACTACTACTACTACCTACTACTACTACTACCTACTACTACTACTACCACTACTACTACTACTACTACTACTACCACTACTATTACTACTACTACTAACACTACTACTACTACTACTACTACTACTACTACCTACTACTACTACTACCTACTACTACTACTACCTACTACCTTCTACCTACTACTACTACAACTACCATACCACTACGACTACTACTACTACTACTACTACTACCTACTACTAGTGTTTCGTTTTAATAGACCTAATCCCACTCAAACACTGCTGTAATGAAAGCAAATTTCTGTTTCAAATTATGACTGGCCAATAGTCTGATTAACAACCAATACCTAACGGTACCTCTTCTGTCCATTCAAGTGCATTGACAACGATTCGTATTCCACCAGAGACAATGGCCTCTTAAGTAACGGGCTTCTTGATATCCTTCTCAAAGAGGTCGAACAAGTACAAATGTCATTCATAAACCCAAGTCGAACCTCATTTGTCAGAAATGATTTCTTTTCAATCTTTAAGTACTTGAATCGCCGATACTGCGGGCTATATAGTCCACTAGTGACCATTGTCCAGTCCTTCATTCCATATTCAGACAATGATCTACCAGTCAAAGGTTTCCAGATATCCGGTCTTAATGAGACCATCTAAGTGCTAGTAATTCTCATCAATTCTATCTTAGTTTGGCTTAAATAAAAGATGTATGCCTCCGAGACCTGAGAGGAAATGAGGTTCATTACCAACCAGTATAACGACAATGGTCATACGCCATGCAGTGGGCTATCACAGACATGTTGGCAATATTCCATCGATTTCCAGCTGTCAAGGGTTCTTTTACGTGCACCCCGTTTATCAACCCTTCCGAACTACTAGACACATTTTCTTGTCCCCCCCGCTCCGCCCAACTTACACCACTGACAAGGGAAACCAGACTGAGGAACTTTCTCGCATGCACACTCTTTCCCTATCAGTCCCGGAAGTGGACACCTGTGTCGCAGTTGGCTCGCTAACTTATTGTTTTTTAAACATACATTATGCAAGAGCTAACTCTTCCTATTAGAGATTTTTCTTTATGCCTGAAATGTTATCTAAATTATTAATTAGACATTAATTAACTTATCCACACCATAATCAACTCTCGATGTCATGGCTAGCCAGTGATATTTACTGGATTTGAATCCGATCTGCTGCTCAACGCTCATTGATGATTAAGTCCAATAATGGATAATCAAGACTCTCTTTATTATCGTAACAACTTTAGTAATGATGATCGAGGCTAAGCCTTAAATAAAAAAAGCTTATATCTCGGTTCAGAGTGGATCAAATGCCGCAAATTCTCTTTACATTATCTAGTTTTTAACTATTATAGTGAGAACTGCCAGCTCTTTATCTAATCTTCCATAGTTCCCCTTTTTAAGTTACACTTAACGTTCTATTTTCCAAGTATGTATAAGAGTATGTATAATAAGTAAAATGTATAAGTATGTATAATAGTATAATATAAAACAATTTCCTTATATGGCACTGTGACCTCCAGAATGTTATACTGATCTATGGCTTCCCATAATTGTGGGGGGTTGGGTGGCTGAATGGTTAGCACGTGCGCTGTATCATAAAGTCTTGTCATTGAGTCAACTGGCGGGGTTTCGATTCCCCGGTTGTACGTGACAGACAAGGAGTAGGGTCGCCTGTCCAACCTCG